TCTTTCCTCTTATTTGAAAATGTCCTCACATTATTTTGTAGTGTACAGAATGCTACAGACTTTTCTTTCATGTCAGTCCTGACTTTTAAAAAATCTTATTTAACTGTATTTTAACAGTCTCATGGCATTTTTTTTGATGTTTTATGGCTGACAGATTTCTAAGTTGTACCTTCTTTTCTCCCTCTACCCACTTCTTGGAAACCTGAGTCATTGCTCTCTCCTTTGGTGAGTCTCGCCCTGCTCCATCCTTAGCCGCAATAAACCCCAAGAATATCTCCTTTCCTTCCTGTCCTCTCAAGTCATCTTAGACCAGTTTGGGAAGCCTGTTTTGCTTTCCCCAGAAGCCTCAGGAAGTGAATAATAAATGAGTTTATACCTCCATCACGCACCGTATGGCAAAATATTGTATCTTCAGATGGCTACAACAGCAGTTTAGATTTTGTAACATGTATTGAAAAATCTATATTTATTGTTTGCTAAAATATTGTTGGATTTCACATCTGTCGTTTGTTTTTGTCTCACAGGACACTGAGATCTCTTTGTAATGCTCAAACATTTTTCATTTGTCTTTTGGTTTGTGTAATTTCTATTTTTTGGCTGCAAGTTCTTTAATCTTTCATTCAATTTTATTTAATTTGAAATTAAGATTATGCAGTAGGCTAGAGAGAGAGCTCAGCATTTAAGAACAGTGGCTACTCTTGCAGAGGACCAGGTTCTGTTCTTAGCACCCATATTTTTGCTAACAACCATTCTTAAATTAATTTTCAACGAATCCAACTTCCTCTTCTGGCCTTTGTGGGTATTGCATATATAGGTGCACATGCATACATGGAAGCAACACACATACACATAAACTAAAAAGATTATGCAATGGGTTTTTCATTTTACAGAATTTTCTGTATTTAAAGTTCTGTGTGATATTTTACAAAACTTCAGTTATTCAAATCATTGTGTTTACGCTGTCCTTTACATCTTTGAACATGTTTATACTAATAGTTTTACCTGCTTCATTAGCTCGTTCAATACTGCCTGATTGAAGTGATTATATTTTCATTAGTTAATTAATTTTAAACTTTGTTGTGTTTAGTGAGCTAGCTAGGGCCTGTGTGTGCGTGTCGGGGCGGGGTAATAGCATGCTTATTTTGAGCTCAATTTTTATTTTTGCCAGAGAAGATCCAAAAAATACCACCAAATAAGGGAAAATTTAGTTCTTTCTATAAGACTATTTTAGTGTCTCTACTGAATGCTCTGGGTATTCAATGAGGTCTTTTAGACTGTCATTGTTTGGGGCATTCAACCTTGTATACACTCTGGAAACTATCAACTGATGACTGTTCGCTTTTACTTAGTCCAAACTTGTAAGCCTTATGCACAAAAAACTTTGACATTAGCAGTGGAATCGGGGGGCATGCACGCACACACCCGTGTGAATGCATTTGTAGCACTTTTGTTAGAATAGCTGTCTTCTTTAGGGCACTCTCATTTTCAAACTCCTTTCACATAACCATCACATTTTACGATCTCTGCATTGTCAAATGAAGACTTTTGCCACCGTCTGTTTAACTTCTTCTGCCTCTGAAAGAAAATCTGCTAAAAGCCTCTGAAGAGAAAATCAGGCTAATCGTAGTATTCAGCTTACATGTTTTTCTCCTCACAGGCATCACATTCATAATTTCCCCACTGGCCAAGATCTGAAAAAGTTTTTCCCCATATTTTGTCTATTTTTCCACTTGTTTTTAGTCAAAGGGTAGAACTAGTACCAACTACTTCAGTGTTAACCTTGAAATTTCTAACATCTTCTATTTTAATGGCTTTTAAAATTGTTTTAGACAAATAGATATTCACATTCAATTTAAATGTTAGGCATTATTGGCATTTACTATGAGAACAAGTCAGCCAAGGTAGCCGTAAAACAATAAAAATTCTTAAACATGGCCAAGCTCATAGTGCTATGGCAGAGAGAGACCACAGCCTATTTTTCTATCTGGAGGTCAAAAAAAGTTATTTTATACTTTACAAAAAATTGCTAGCTTCATTTCTATTTCAACAATACTAAAATACAGCATTTTTACATTTTGTAATAAAAAAAATCGGATTGCCATTAGAAAGGACTGGAAAACAACAGTTTTACCTTTTTACCAAAACCAAATGGAAAAATAGGCCAAATATGTTGAATAACGTTTTCAGATACTGAAATGGAAAACTTTAATCTGTGATGCTTGGGGTGAGAAAAACAAGTAAGTGAGGCTCTATGATGGGCTTGGCTTTCTCCTCAGAAACACAGAATAAGCCCTAGCAAAATGGCTATGAATTGAACAGTGTCTATGTACCATTCTTTCATGGTTTCTGAGTTTTACTTGAATAAATGCACTATTTGCCTAGTAAAATGCATTTTTGAGAAATGTTGCTGGAACCTTCATGTAATCGAAGAAAAGAACTTCACAACCTGTACGGTACCATATACAAAATTTAAACTGAATAATCTGGTTCAGTGCTGTATCTGAGCTCAGCTCTTTGTTACTCAGCTCCACATGAATTTGATCACTTAGAACTGCATTAAGAAATATGCAATTTAGTATTGTTTAGTGCAACAACATACAAGAAAGGATCAGAGAACCTAACGGTTTAACCACTGAAGCACAGAGAAGATATGTTAAAGTGGGAAGGTTTGTGTGTTGCAAACTGAAGCCCTGCTGTGCAGAAGTCAGAGGGGCATTCTTGGAATGGATTCTGAATAAGTTCAGGAATTAGCCAAATGGAACAAAGTATACAGCAAGTCAACACTGTCCAGTGGTTTCTTGGTTCTGAAGCACAGCGTGTGGTTATACAGCCAGTTATTGAGAACTTACTGTACTTAATTAAGCACTGTGGTAAACATGCACAAATATCACTTCTTCTAAACATAGAAACCACAGATCTGTAGGTTATCACTGTAGCTCTAGCATCACAGCTCCCATAGAAAAGCTGGGGTACTGATGGCAATTCCCCAAACTTCCTTATCACATTTTTTTTCTAGAAATATATTAGATTTTAGATTCTATGTTATTATATATCTTGAAAAATCATAGATTCCTATTTTATGTTGTCAATAGGGAATTACATCAGTAAATGAAAGCCCTAGAAATTGATCTTCATGAATGTGTTAGTCATTTTAACATCTTTCACCATGACCCCTCCTTATGTTATCAGCAACCATTTTTTTTAAAGCAAATGAAGCCTCTCAGACCTTCTTAATGTGATTAATGAGAAAAGAAATGCTGAAGCAGAGAGCATTGTGCCAAAGAAACAGAAGCTGTCCTGCCCCCAGCCAGGCCTACCAGGCTCAGCCAGCGCACAACCCATTGGAAGAGTTCCATTCCATCCAGATCTGTCCCCAGGTCGCACCTCAAGGTCACATGCCAGGCTCAAAGCTGTCCTCCAGCCAGAACCCCCCAGTTGCTGCCATCAGAGTTCCTTTGGCAGCAAGGCTCTTGGGCTGCATTGCAGGGGCCGGGATGAAGCCCTGGCAAGGAGAAGGCTCTCCTGTGTCGAGGTTCTGGCCTCACACTGAAGCCATTGCAACAGACCATCTGTCTCAAGTTGTCAATCCTGGAGATCTTCAGGGATCAGAGAAATGGGCTGGTTTCATTCTGAGCCCTATGACAGTGTGCCTCCCAACACTGTCCACATGACTGCCGAAAACTTCAGCATATTGCTCACAATTGACATCGCCCAGGGGTGGGGTTTTGTGATTTTATTTATTATATTGTTTTTTTAATCTTCTAAATTTCTATACATTATTATTTACAGTGGGAAAATGACTAGGGCATTTTAAACTAGGAATAAGCTAGGAAACACTTCCTTTTACATATTACTGTTTCAGTATTACATTTATTTATTTAACCCATTATGAATTATTCTATTACAACGCATTAAAACATTTTTCTGATTTGTTTCAAAAGTTACGGAAGAAAACATGGTGAGATGTGAATGAATAACTTCTTACTAATATTAAAAATCTGTGATCTCCTTATTTGGGGTATTTTTATGCATCTACTAGTCTTGCTACATTGAAAGGCTCCAGTGTGCGGGGCAGTATGGAAGGGTGCCATTTGGGATGTGGGTATAAAGATGAATAAGATTGTGATGTTCTGTATGAAATACACAAAGAATCAATTTTAAAAACTTACCCCCTAAAAAGAAAGATATTCTAGATTAATAATCTATAAAGGACAAACACATTTGCCAACCAACACTCCATGATTACTTTAGTGCTGGGAACAAAGCAATGATATCATGATATCAAGGCTATTATTTTCTCTTGACATGTATGTCTAGCTCCATAACTCATCCATTGAAAACATGACTTTCATCACTATAGCATGCATTTTATTATAATATTCCATTTACAAAAAATTTTGTAGCAATTATATCACCAATCCCATGACAAAAGATAAAAACAAATAATTAGATTGAATTGTCTACCTTCAAATAACTGGTAATTAATTTTTTAAGCAACGTGGTAGGCAGCTCTCCTAACAGTTTGTATCCTATAATGAGGAACCTGATTGTACTGTGATACAACTCTAAGCCTCTGTGTGTATGTGCCTATGCCAGTCAATTCCTCACCTTAACCTTGGAAGTTACTGTTTTCGTAACAGAAAACTGCTTTAAGCAGTTTACATCAATAAGTTTGATTTCTGAAAAAGAAACCACCTCATCTTATGGAAGCTGTTACTCAGAATTTTATAAGATTTGACTTCTCCTCTGTTCTTGGGCATATGAGTTTTCCTACACAGATTTCAGGGCAAGGGGACAGGTAAGAGGAAGGGAGGGAGGGAAGAAAGGGGAGAGGAAGGAGGAGGTGGGACTGACGCTGTTCTAGATACTAGAACACAATTCCTTAGACTGTGTGATTACAAAGAACAAAAATTATTTCTTACTGTCTGGCAGTTGGGAAATCCAAGATCTAGATACCCACAGTGTCAGAGTCTGGTGAGGGTCTACTTCTCACTTCTCTGTGTCCTACAGTGAAGGGAATCAGAACTCTGATCACACACCCTGGAGGAGACAGAAAAGCAAAAGGTTCAAGCTCATTCCCTAGAGCCCTTTCAGAAGGCCCCGTCCTCAAGACCTCATCACCTCCTGATACCATCACCCTGAGCTTGGGAACTCAACACAGGTATTTGAGGGGAAACAAATGCTCAGAGCAGGGGAGGGGAGACAGAAAAGAAAGGGAAAGTGGCCAGGGGAAAGGAGGGAGGGAGAGAAAGGAAGAGGTGCCATGGGGTAACTAATTCAGAGCCCATTTATCTGTTGGTTTTTGTCTCCTGCCTGAAATACAGCAAAGCAAACAATACATGATTAATCCGTACAGTGTCTTGGGAATGAAGGCAAATCTGTCCAACATTCTCAGGCCTGTTAAAGCTGTTCTATAATTTTTTTTTTCTAAAACAGTCTCGTCTCTCAAGCTACTTTACCAATCAACTTCCCCCCAACGACCACAATGCCAGTCATGAAGGAGGACCAGGGAACCTGTCTCTCCAACATCTTAATAGGCAGAACACAGCAGGTCAGGCAGAACCAACCAGAGGTCAGGACAAGGCTGTGCCGGAGCTTTGGGAAGTGTGGCAGTCTTTCCTTGAGTTACGGGTGCCAGTTCCAAGGCATCCTGGCCTCTGAGACTTGTCTGTGTTTTTATAATGATGGTGTGAAGACCTCAGTAGGGAGAGGGTTAACATATTCCTCCTTTGGTGACTATTCTGCTCCCCATAGCCTCATCTCATATATTCGAACACTTGATTGTCAGCTGACCTTCTGAACTCTGTGAGACACCTAGAGGGTGCTCTTCTGAATTCTAGAATCATAAAGTAATATATCCATTTAGCCAATATACATTTCACAGTTAACATGTACAGAGCGATTCGCCATCTTGTTCCTCGTATCTCCCCTTCTGATTGTCTCAATCTGAAGAAATATTATCTCTAGGTATGCAGCTCCCCAGGCCAAGTCATCATGGCCACCTGTGGCTTTTTTCTTCATCCTTGTGTGGAATCTACCACTGATTTCTCTTTTATCTGAGACATATTTTATATTTAATTATGTGTATATTTGGAGGGTATGTGCACACAAGTGTTACAGGCTACTGGGCATGGATGATGGAAACTGAACTTGGGTTCTTTACAAGAGCAATATGCACTCTTAACCTCTCTCCAGCCCCCTCCACCACCGATTTCTATTTGATTGATTCTCTAAAAATCTCTCTCATAAACATTGCCAAACACCCTACACAAATCACCACCATCTTTGTCTATGACAGCTGCTTAGTCTGAGGTCTTGCTGAGTTCACTGTTGACCTCCTCCAATCAGTATTCACCCTAGAAACCAGATCAATTATGAATATAAATTAGGCTTTTTCTTATAATTAAAAATTAATGGTTGTGTGGTGTTCCAATGTTGTCAAAAGAGGCTGTACAACCTTCTTAACATAAAAGAAAATGGCCCATAGTTTAGGGAACTAGTTCACAAATATTTTTGGCTTGCCTACTTCTGAGTAAACAGGCTACTTTCTTTGAGATAATGAAAATATGGTACACTTAAAAAATGGAATATTATTCAATTGTTAAGCAAAACAAAATTATGAAATTCCCAGGTAAATGGATGGAACTGGTAACAATGATCCTCAGCAAGGTAACCCAGGTCGAGAAAGACAAACATCACATATTCTTTCTCATAAGTGGATGCTAGCTTTGAATGTGTGTGTGTGTGTGTGTGTGTGTGTGTGTGTGTGTGTGCGTGCTTCAATTGGAAAATCCATACAGGTTAGGAAACTAGTAAAGGAATGTAGGGAAGGGCTTCATAGGAAGGGAGACAAAATGCAGTGATGTAAAGGGGGTAAGGGAAATAATGGATAGAAAGGGTTAAATGGGGTGGAGAACTAATGGGAAGGCAGTGTAGAGGAGGGAGTATGGGAAGGAATAGCGAACACTAAAGCCTTTTGAAAAGTTTTATGGGAACCTAGTACTATAGAAACTTGTTAAAATATATACCTATACAACATAAAAATGTTTAAGTGGAGTTACCCTACAACAGGGGGACAATACCCTTACCAGATATCACAGGCTAGCAAATTCAAAGCTCAATGCCAAGAATGGACTCCCTTGTTGACTGGGAGGATACCTTCAAACAATACTGGCTATTGCCATTGCTCTTGGTTACCTAACAGAACTTGATGATAAGATCCTATTGTTGAAGATACTATACACATGAGTCATAGACAAAGATGGGGAAATCAAGCTTGTACTGACCTTGAAGCTTTATCACTACTGGCTAGCTTTAATAGTGCTGGGAGGTGCTATGCATGCTAAGGGAAGAGAAAAGTCATCATCAACGTGCAGCTGTGAACCTTGGACGCTGTAACAACTAGCTGGCAAGATGTGTCCATTGGTTTAATAGTGGTGCAAATATTTAGGGAGTAACGAACTACTTTTTGATTGCATTTAAGGCCTGCTTCACAAAATAGAATCCATATTTGGCACTGTTATCAGGGCCAAGAACCTTTGGCTAGACAGGTGATGGGTCGTAGGGGAGAACCTACTACTATTATCCTACTAAACAGACATAGTGTTAAACTGATTGCTATTGACTTACTGTTAGTCACACAGATCAGTGCATCTCTCAACTCTCACCACAGAAACTTCTTCTTATAGCAGATGGTGATTAGCACAGATACCCACAACTGGTCAATATGCAGAGAATTAGAGACTGTGGAGTGCTTGGCCCCAAATGGAACACTTAAATCACACCCTTTCATCTCAAGGCTCATGGATCATTGTGAAAGATGAGGCAGAAAGACTGTAAGACGAATACAAGATATCTGTTTTCTAGGCGCAACAGGGCAGTTGTACCTATGAGCTGACAGTGCTTGTGACAGCATGTACTGGACCTGTGCAAGCCCAAGTCAGACAAAAACCTATCATGAATGGGGGAAAGAAGCAAGAAACCCCAGCCTTAGCTGAGGAAATACTGGCAACTAATAGCTGCTGAGAGAGGAGTCAGTTTTCTTTAAGGGTGTTGATGCCTCATAGGTTTACCAGGCTCCAGTGAATGATCCCATACCCAAGAGTTTTGGGAAACACAAATTAGATGTGACATACCTGTTAAAAAACAATAATAGAGCACATGAATTCTAAAGTCTGGGAGAGGTAAGGTGGGAGTGGTAGATAGAGAAGGGGGGTTGAATACGACCAAAATTCAATATATGAAATTCTCAAAGAATCAGTAAAAATATGTTTTACAGGGGGAAAAATGAGCCATAATTTGGGATGGATAATCCCCAAATATTGCTTGGCTTGCTTACTTTGTATAAAGAGGCCACTTTTTTGAGACTGCATTTTCGAACTGCTTTGTTTGGGCACACTGCCTGATAGATCTGACTGCCTACTCTCTTATGCTGGCTTTACAGTTTCAAAGGGAACTGTGAATGCATGCCCTTCTGCCACCATGTAGCTCTGAACACAGGTCACACATTGGAGCTAAACCTCGCTGCCATCTGCTACCTCTGTGTGTCCATTTGCTATCTGGGGCTTCTTCATCTTGGGTCTATGGTTCCCTCCAAAGTGAAGGCTGCAGCTATCGCCTTTAATTATCTTTCACTCATTGTTGATCCAGCACCTACCGGGCAGTTGTATGGAGAGGAGATGCAAAGCAAAGTGAGGCTCAGTCACTGCCTCTGAGGAATTTGGAATCTGGTGGGGGAGAGGGAACACATAGGTGCCTTCTGCATGGTGCGTGCAAAGTTGAACTGGAGGTCACAGGAAGGAGTGCTACTTTTGAGGTTATTAGGAATGGAAGATGGGGGTACTATCAAATGATAGTCCTCCCAGACTCTAAATGTACCCATGGCTTAGCTCCATATATCCCTTAAGTTACTTTACAAATGTTTAGAAAACAGCAGGACAGGTCTCCTGCCTGAAGAGGATTGAACTCAGGTCAGGGTCTGCAGCAGGCACCTTTACTCCCTGAGCCATCTCACTAGCCACAGCCTGATTGAGATACTTCATCATAACAAAGTTTTATTTTCTTTTTTTAAACCCTCTTTTATCAGTATATCCTAATTACACACAGTAATGCATTTCATTATGACATTTTCATACCTGTATACAATTCATTTTGATCATATACACACTTTCACCCACATTACTCTCTCTTGTCCTTCCCACGCCTGCTGATCCCCTTCCTCTTCCCGCCAGTCCTCTTCTACTTTCACGTCTTTTTTTTTTGTCTGTGAACCAATGAGTTTAATGAGGATTACTTACACGAGCATGGGTGAGGGATTACCTGCAGGAGCATGTGCAATTTGCCAGTGGCTACACCACTTAAGAAAATGCCACTCTCTCCCCCAGCAACCGTTAACTACCTGTAGATCCTCAGGGAGGGGTGAGGTCTCCTGAGCCCCTGCCCACTAGCTACCAGTAACTATCTATACATTCTTAGGGAGGGCTACCTAACTTGTGTTGGAATTACTGTCTGATGAATCCAGTTTCCTTACTTTGTAGAGAACTCAAGTTGAAGAATTTGAATTCAGTCCAGAATGCCCAAATAATACCAGGAGTGCTTCACATCTTCCTACTTCCAAATTTCCTTTAAAAATACTGTGCAAGTGGAGTGACATGGTATATATGAAAGTGTAATATAAACTGTGAAGAACCAAATCAACTGTGTGAAGAGTCCGTGATTCAACAGGACCATAATGCCCAGAAACAATCCTTTAAAGTTGGAGGAACAGAAACAAACAGAAGGAAGCAGTCTCCACAGTGTCATGGGGACAAAGGCATTTTGGATCTTGTGTTGTTGACCCTATTTTGGGTTAATATTTTCCTCTTGTAAGACAAGGTTTATCTCATACCATGACAGTCCTGCCAGAGTTTCTAAAATAGGAAATAGGAATCTTTATTTGGAAGTAGAAAGGATTTGAACAAGAAAACCTCAGCTATGTGTCCTACCAACTCTAGCATGAACAACTGTAACACATTTAATGTAGAGTCTACATGTGTTCCTGAGAAACGGGGACATGACAGCAGCCAGGCCAAACTGAGGTCAAAAGAAATATACTCCTAGACAACACTGCTCCTGGGTGACCTCATTTAAACATATACATGTAGATATATAATATATAATATA